CTACCTGAACCCGTTTTTGCACATGGTCAGTTATATGTTGCTTTCTCTCGAGTTTGAAGAGCATGTGATGTTAAAGTTAAAGTTCTAAGTACTTCATCACAAGGGAAATTAGTCAAGCACTCTGAAAGTGTTTTCACTCTTAATGTGGTGTACAGGGAGATATTAGAATAAGTTTAATCACTTTATCAGTCATTGTTTGCATCACTGTTGTTTTTATATCATGTTTTTGTTGTTTTCATATCATGTTTTTATTGTTTTCATATCATGCCTCTGTTGTTGTTATATCCTTTTGTTACTGTTTATTTATTAATAAATTTATATATTATTTTCATATACATTTTACTAATTTCCTTTCATCTCTCACACTTCTATTATAGAGAAAGGGCAAATAGCAATATTAAAATATCTCTGCTAATTAATTCCCTTTTTTAAAAAAATATATTTTATTGATTTTTTACAGAGAGAAAGGGAGAGGGATAGAGAGTTAGAAACATCGATGAGAGAGAAACATCGATCAGCTGCCTCCTGCACACCCCTACTGGGGATGTGCCTGCAACCAAGGTACATGCCCTTGACCGGAATCGAACCCGGGACCCTTGAGTCCGCAGGCCGATGCTCTATCCACTGAGCCAAACTGGTTAGGGCAATTAATTCCCTTTTAATGTGCACGAATTTCGTGCACCAGGCTACTAGTCTACACTAATAAAAGGGTAATATGCTAATTAGACCGGGCATCTTCCAGACATCTTTCCAGACAAAGCCACAGCAGCTGCCAAGGGCTGGCAGCCACAGCAGCTGTGAGGGCCAAGGGCTGGCAGTGTGGGAGAGGCTGCGGCACGGGCCTGTCCAGTGCCCTGGTCCCTTTTGCAGAGGCGGTGGGAGAAGGCGGCACCACGGGAGAAGGGAGAAGGGAGAAGGCCAGCACCACAGCCCCTTCCACAGAGACAGCAGGAGAAAGGGCTGCGTGGTCCCGGTCCCAGTGCTGCCCCTTCCACAGAGGCAGCCACAGAGGCAGCTGTGCGGGCTGGTCCCAGCGCCACACCTCCACAGAGGCTGGACGGGGTGTGACCTGCTGTGCCTCAACCTCCCACAGCCCCACCCCCAGCCGGCCTGGCCCCAAATCGCCCCCCACCCACCAGTGGACAGGGGGCGGGGCCAGCACTAAGGAGTGAGGGCCTAGGGCTGGCAGCTGCGGCGGCCAGCAGTGGCAGCAGCAGCAGGGTGAGGGGGGCGGCTCCTTACCCTGATTGGCTTAGTTCCCTCCCGCAGAGGAGAATATCCCCTGAGGGCTCCTGGACTATGAGAGGGGGCAGGCCACACACACCAGTGCACGGATTTTTGTGCACCAGGCCTCTAGTCTATAATAATAAAAGTGTAATATGCTAATTAGACCTGACAGCCGAACAACCTTCTGGACAGAGCCTCGGTGGCAGGGGCCATGGCAGAAGTGGTGAGGGGCAATCAGGCAGGCAGGTGAGCAGTTAGGGGCAATCAGGCAGGCAGGCAGAGTGGTTAGGGGCACAATGAGGCAGGCAGAGTGGTTAGGGGCGATGAGGCAGGCAGGCAGGCAAGTGGTTAGGAGCTAGCGGTCCCGATTGCAAGAGGGTGCAGGCCAGGCTGAGGGATTCCCCCTCCCCGGTGCACAAATTTCATGCACTGGGCCTCTAGTTGATAATAAAAGGAAAATACTTTTTAAATTATTTTTTAAATTATTTCTATGAAGCTGAAGAAAAGAGTAAGTTGCTAATTGGCCATCATTTTATCCTTTCATTCTTCTACAATTTATAGTTTTACAAGCATGTACAATACATGTGTTGAACATATATTGTACCCATTGTGAATTATTTTTCCCATTGCACCTATTCTTTCTTTTCAACAAAGCACAAAGAATGAGAGAACAATGTGATAACCCAGATGCCAAAGAAAAGTGTGGAATTCTTAACTAAAATAAGCCTGGATTGTATTTATATTTTGAGTCAGTCAGTGGACAAACTTTTATGACTGTTAATGTATAGTTCTCATTAGTCTACCAAATCTTGCCCTTCTTGCTCTTGGTCTGTGACTTCCTCAAGCATCTTCAAAGATTGTCTCATATTCCATTTACTCTTGAACCCATTGCAGACTGGCTCCTGCCCCTTCTACTCATTAGTGACCACCTAATTTTTTATGTTAATTAGCACTTCTCAGCCCTTCTATAGCTCTTGTCATCAGCCAGTTCCACCTTAAAATGTTGTTCTCTATTGGTTTCTGTGATACCCCTTTCTCATCATTTCCTCTACCTTTCAGGCTATTACTCTGTTTCTTTCATGGACAATTTTATTTTTTGCTTATACTTTAAATGTTGCATATTCTATAACTAGAGGCCTGGTGCACAAAATTTGTGAACGGGTAGGGTCCCTAGGCCTGGCCGGCAATCAGGGCCAATCAGGGCCTTTCTTCCCCTGGCTGCTGGCTGCTGGATGGAGCCTTCCTTCATTCTGTGCCACCGCCTGGTGGTCAGCACATGTCATAGCAATCGGTCGAACTCATATCCTCTATCTTCCCCCACAGATTCTGAATCAGTACAGAGTTCAGGACTCTTTAAAACATTTCCCAAGGGGGAAATTTGCATATTAGCCTTTTATTATATAGGATAGGATTCTGTTCTTAGGTTTCTTTTCTTCTCATTCTTTATCCTTTCAACTAAGCAATCTAAAGTCTATGTTTGTAGTTCCACGTACCTTCCATTAGCTGATGGTTTCCCAATGTATTTCTGGAGCTCAGTTTTTGCTCTCAGTACCAGGCTTGAAATTACAGTGTCTACTGAATTCAACTGGTTACCTTCAAACTCCACATTCTAACATCTCTTAACTTCTATACCACCTACTTTTTATATCCTCTTATTTTGGTACAACGTTTTATTTAGTTGTACCAATTTCTAGTAAAAAAAAAACTACATCTTTAATATCTCTCAGATTTATCTTATTTTTTCTCTCTACTCTAATACTTATGATTTAAACTCTTCTTCTCACTCTTTTTTTTTTCATGCTGTATTATCTTTAATTAAGTACAAAGACTTTTCCAAACATGTCACCTAGAGCTCACTTCACCCACTGCTTTGTTTGGCCGCCATTCTCTTGTCTCTCTCTTCAGCAATGGTGAGGCAGATACCCTTTCCACAGGGTAGGGAAATCCATGGTTTGTTGCCTTTGCCAATTACAAAAATGTTGGAGAGCTGGGTGGCAAAACTGTTGCCATTGGCATCTTTCACATGAACTATGTCAAAAGAGCCACGGTGCCTCTCCCTGTTGGTGATCACACCAATTCTTCCCAGGTTGGCACCTCCGGTCACCATGCACAGGTTACCATTGTCAGTCTTGATGAAAACAGTAATTCTGCCAGTCTCCAACTCAATCTGAATGGTGTCATTCACCTTGATGAGGGGATCAGGGTAGCAGATGGTGCGAGCATCATGGGTTACCAGATGAGGGATTCCTTTTGTGCCCACAAAGATCTTCCTCACTTTGCATAACTTGTACTTGGCCTCCTCAGGTGTAATACGATAAACAGCAAAGCGGCCCTTAGTGTCATAGATCAGGCGGAAATTCTCTCCAGTCTTGTCAATGCTGATGACATCGTAAAACCAGCAGGGTAGGTTATATTGGTTCGGACCTTGCCATCAATCTTAATAAACCGCTGCATGCAAGTCTTCTTTACTTCATCTCCTGTTAGAGCATACTTAAGTCTGTTCCTTAAGAAAATTATGAGAGGGAGACATTCTCTCAGCATGTGGGGACCGGTAGATGGCCGAGGAGCAAACACACCGGTCAATTTATCCAGCATCCAATGATTTGGAGCTGCTACACACTTCAGATGCTTCTTGGGACCATGAGCCATGGTGCACCTGGCAGTGAAAGAGCCTTCTCTCTCTTGGGAAATTGTAACTATCCCCAAAGTGACCTTTCTACCTCCTGAAGTAGACTCTCTCTATAGTCTATCCTTCTTACTGCCATCATAGCAATGTTCTAAAATGCAATGTTTGAAGTGCGTTTTTCCTTATCTTAAATCTTTTAGATGCTTCTCATTACCCAGAAGTAGTTTTCAAATATTCATCCATGGTCCATCTGCTTTTGGATCATTTAGAAAACTTTTGAAAAACTCATATCCTCTATCTTCCCCCACAGATTCTGAATCAGTACAGAGTTCAGGACTCTTTAAAACATTTCCCAAATTATTTTATTAGGCAGGCAGGGTTGGAAAACACTGACCTATCCATGTGGTTCAGATCCTTATCATGGAGTCCAGGACTGCTCAGGGTCTGACACCTGCCTGCTTCTTCGGTGCCATCTCTTTTTGTTTTTCCTCCTGTTCTCTCTGTGCTCCAGCCAGATGCTCTCTTCTGGCTCTGGAACCTACCAGTCTTGATCCTCTTTTAAAACCTTTGTTTGCTTTTGTTGAATCAGAGTCAGGACCCTAGATTTCTACCTGTTTCACCCCTGCTTCCCTCTGTAACCTAGGCAGTACCTCCTTGGATTTTACATGTGGAATTCAGGTTGAAAACCACTGAGCTCATTCAAATCAGTGAGGTCAGAAAAGGGACTCACTGACATCTTATAATGGTGAATGGCAGACCATATCTAAAATTCAGAATTTACATTCATAATAAAGTTCTTAATTTATTTCTCTTTTGTACTTTCATATATTTAATGTCTGGTCTGTTTGATCTGAAATGACCTCTTAATTCTTTCCTTCTTAAATAAATTATCATCCATTTGTTCCCTCATTCATTGTTTATTTATTCGTTCAGTAAACATTTATTTGAATACATAAGGAGCACTGTAGGATTTGGGGGGAGGTGTGTAGAAAATTTGAACAATACAAATTCTCTATCCTTTAAGGTTCTTAACATAGGTCCTTTATATTCAATCATAAAATTCTATACAAAAAAATTATTATTTTTTAGAAGAGAAACTATAATATAACCTTTTTCCACTGTTTTCTTTCTTTTTTTTTTCCTCCAGGGAAAGACCATGTTTGTAGATTTATTGGCTGTGGGAGGAATGATCGCTTCAATTATGTGGTCATGCAGTTGCAGGTAGGTTGCCTTGAAAATATATCTTAAAATCTTTACGTTTTGGTCAAAGTACCTAATTATAGTGGAAAATAATAATAATAACAACAACAACACTCTTGGTATCATATCAGAATGTTTTATATTATTCAGATGAAAATTTGTTTAAACACACTTGATACAGATATTTCCAAAGATGGAAGGGTTGTCTCTCTCAGTTATTTTAGTTGATTCACGTCTTCACTGATTGTCATCATTGCAGAGTTTTCAATCCTTACATGGATTGCTGGATATAATGTGAGTCTTGCCCTGTCCCTGTCCCCTCCCTTTCTACCCTTTGTTACCTTAAGGATTTAGTTTTCCATTTATGTGCTCAAGTATCAACCTGACCTGCTTAAAAATTTAAGCACTAGTTGAGATAGAAGAGAAATGTTAGTCCTCTTTCTCTTTTAATCTTTTAACATTACTCTCTCTGTTCCCTATCCTTCAAATGAGAAGTGGCGTTGGATTGGAGCAGCAGAGAGAAATTCAGAAGGGGAATATTGGAGTAATGACTGCAGCATCCCCTTCTCTCTGACACTAACTCTGTCCCGAAAACACACACACCTCTGAACTGTAGTCACCCTCAAAGTGTAAAAGCTTGGTTCACCTTGCTGCCTGAGTTAGAGATCGCAAGGTTTTCTTTCCTCTGTGGCAAAATCTGTTTTGGCATTTGGTTCTTTTCTTTCAACTTAATAACTACATAGCAGTGATTTCAGAGACATGGGTCCTGGCCTAAATGCTTCCTCTTCTCCTCAGAAGGCTTTTCCTGTTTCCATCAGCTATCCTTCAGCATTTGAGTTAGATGTAAAGATATTAATCTCTCTGTAGACTTAAAGTTTGTTATTTTAAAAATATATTTTACTGATTTTTTACAGAGAGGAAGGAAGAGGGATAGAGAGTTAGAAACATCGATGGGAGAGAAACATCGATCAGCTGCCTCCGGCACACCTCCCACCGGGGATGTGCCTGCAACCGAGGTACATGCCCCTGACCGGAATCGAACCCGGGACCTCTTAGTCCACAGGCCGACGCTCTATCCACTGAGCCAAACCGGTCAGGGTGACTTAAAGTTTTTGAGTCATATGTTTCACTATCTCTTGAGCCAACACAGGTTTATAAATTCTTTGGTTAATCTCTTCCCACCCACCCGCCAACCCAACTTTCCTCTCAGATTTGACAGTCTCTTCTTTGCTTCTATGTTTTTGGATCTATTTTGTTCATCAACTTATTTTGTTCATTAGAGTCCACATATGAGTGAGATCATGTGATACTTGTCTTTCTCTTATTGGCTTCTTTTTTTTTAATATTTTATTGATTTTTTACAGGGAGGAAGGGAGAGGGATAGAGAGTTAGAAACATCAATGAGAGAGAAACATTGATCAGCTGCCTCCTGCACACCTCCTACTGGGGATGTGCCTGAAGCCAAGGTACATGCCTTTGACCGGAATTGAACCTGGGACCTTTCAGTCTGCAGGCCGACGCTGTATCCACTGAGCCAAACCAGTTAGGGCTCTTAGTGGCTTCTTTTGCTCAGCATGAAACTCTCCATGGCCCTCCATGCTGTCGCAAAGGGTAAGAGCTCCTTCTATTTTACTGCTGCATAGTATTGCATGGTGTAAATGTACCACAGCTTTTTTATCCACTCATCTACTGATGGGCACTTGGGCTGTTTCCCGAACTTAGGTATTGTAATAACACTGCTATGAACATAGGGGTGCATACATTCTTTCTGATTGGTGTTTCGGGTTTCTTAGGATAGATTCCTAGAAGGGGGGGTCACTGGGTCAAAAATTCTTTAAAAAGCACTCTACCAGCTATTAAGATATCTTGAGGAAGGACAACATTTCCTACAGGAAGGACAGGACTAATACTTGATTCTTTTATTTACCAGTATTCAGAATAGTTAGTTGGTTCCCTAATATTTTCCAAAGGGGACTAACTAGCCCTCTCTTTAAAAAATATAATTATGGCCCAGCCAGTGTGGCTCAGGAACCAAGAGGTCAGAGTTCAATTCCCAGTCAGGGCACATGCCCGGGTTGTAGGCTCAATCCCCAGAAGGGGGCGTGAGGCAGCTGATCGATAATGTTTCTCACCGATGTTTTTCTCTCTCTATCCCTCTCCCTTCCTCTCTCTCTCACAGTGAATAAAAACATATTTTTTAAATCCTTAAAATATATATAATTATGAATTCATAGATTTAACATGACCTGTGTCTTTCAATCATTGTTTTTCTTTTTAATTTTCAAATTGGCCCATCTTTGGCTAACAGAACTTCCTTCAAGTTGGATCCTGATTCATTTGACAGTACTAGACTGCAGCAGTCTTTGATAGCATCCTTACTTTCTGGTACAAAATTGTGTACCTAGCTCTTTCTGTATAATTCATGCTTTAAGTGGATGGATTCAGGATATATATATATATATATGTATTTTTTAAGAGAAAATATATCATGGTTTATGTTCTTATTTCCAATTCAAGTTTTTGGTAATAGAATTGCTACTGCCCTCTTTGATTTTATATTGTGAGGTTCAGGGACATCAAAATGCATCTCTTTACTCTTATGTAACTTTTAAAAATATGCAGATGAAATGATATGATTGGGATTTACATGAAAATAATGCATTGTATGTGTGTGGGGAAGGGAGAGGAGGGTATGTGCTGCTGGGGAGAGTAGATAACAGATGAGGGTTAGTTATATTATTTTCTCTCCCTTTAAGTATGTTTCAAATCCTTAATAATTAATTATATTTGTATTTTTATTAGGACCATGTTAAATTTATAGAATTAGTTGGAAATAAATGAATTTACTTTTTTATTCAATAATATTTATTCCATATTACTATGTATAAAGGTTCTTTTTTTATAGTGGCTGCATATTAGTCAATGAGATGACTGTACCATGATTTATTTAATCTTTCATTTATTGATGGGTATATAGGTTGTTTTCAATTTGTCTTCATAACAAATAATAACCACTTGTAGTATACACTCTGAAGTACAGGGTGAGGCAAAAGTAGGTTTACATTTGTTCATATGGAAAATGATACAATAATTAATAAATAATAATATAAGAAAAACTCTTTCACGTACTCATAACTGTAAACCTTCTTTTTCCCCACCCTTCATAATTTACTGGCTCAAACCTGCATGTGTTTACCACGTTAGTAACTCTTTCCTCATATGCCACCCTTGTACTTATATTTTTAGATTTTCTTATTTGATGCCTTAGGTGTACATTTAAAAGGATTTAAGCCCAACTTATGTAGCTCAGTGGCTGAATGTCTGAGGTCACAGTTTGATTCCAGTCAGGGCACATGCCCTGGCTGTGGGCTCAATTCCCAGTAGGGGGAGTGCAGGAGGCAGCTGATCAATGATTGTCATCATTGATGTTTCTGTCTCTCCCTCTCCCTTCCTCTCTGAAATCAATAAAAACATATTTAAAAAATAAAGTATCTTTCAAGAAATTTTAAAAAATAAAAGGATTTAAAATCATTACTGATATCATAAGTTTAATTTAATTGATCTCCTTTTTTAAAAAACATGTTTTTATTGATTTTTTTAGAGAGAGAGGAAGGGAGAGGGATAGAGAGATGGGAATCGAACCGTGACCTCCTGGTTCATAGGTTGACGCTCAACCACTGAGCCATGCCCGCCAGGCTAATTGATTTCCTTTCAAAAGCTTTTATGATGGTGGAAGTTGTTTATAAATGAAATTCTAGTATTAGGCATATTTTTGGCAATGAAAATACTGATTTTTGAAGAAAAATTTATTGGAATGCTAATAAAGGTTATTAGATACTCCCATGGGATTATAAAAGTTGTTCTAGATTATCACTTATTTTACATTTGCTAAAGATATAGAGAACAACAAATTCTCCTAACATTAAACAAAGAAAAGATAACTACCAATTTGTGCTGTGGGAAAACTGCATTTTTAAAGAAGATATGTAGTATGAAAGGTTCCTGACATTCTGGTAAATTTTCAATTCTTAGTTTACTTGAGTACTATTTAATATTTTATTTCAAATGGTACTTGAGTAACTTAAGATTTTATTACTTTTTCAAAAGTGAACCAACTGTCTTTAGTTGAGGTGATGGTATTAATCCTAAACATATACTACAAAATTTTGGGAATAGGGAGATTGGGATATTTAAATTTCTTTGAGCTATAAGGGCCAGTTTCCATTCTTTGGGAGGTAGAACTACAGCATTATAAACCATTCATCTCATCAGATTACTGGTTGTTACCTAGGCTATAAGGAACCTTCTGGTGAAATAGCACAGTGAAGTGGAAAAAGAACACTTTGGAATCTGGCAGAGTTAGATTTGAAAGACAACTTTACCTTAACGGGTGTTATCCTAATAGAATGTCTTCTCTTGAGTGAAAGAATCATGATTTTGGTAAAATCCTTGCTATTTCAGTCAAAACATTTTTTAATGATAAATGGATAATTCCCCATCTTTTCTTATAACATAATTTTAGTACCATATTTGAAAGTGTGTTTTTGTTTCCATAGGGTCGGAATCTGGCAGACCTACGCCGTAGCCAGTCCCGGGGCACATTCACTATTAGCACTACTCTTCGGCTGGGTAGACAGATTCTGGAGTCTATTGAGAGCATCCATTCTGTCGGATTCTTGCACCGAGACATCAAACCGGTAGGGCACAGAATGAGTTTGCTCAGTACTCTTAATCTTAAAATGGGACACAGTAACTTACAAATGTAGCTTTCTATATTAAATGCAAGGTAATATTTTAATTTCTTTAGCAGAAATGGAACTGGAAGCAAAATATAACTTGCCTTTTCATTAAAAAAAAAAAGAAGATAATTACACACTACAACTTATATTCAAGAGCTTTTCTCCTACAATGAAAATGTTGTTCAACAGCCAATTTAAAAATGACTAATGCTTGGCTATTATTATTATGTATGTTAACATTGCCATATTACTTAGCTTTACACCTAAATTGATAGTTATTCTTTGGATTTCTTTTTCCTAATATTGGTTACAAATATTTACCAAAGTTGTTTTTAGATATTGGCATGATGTTCTTTTGAACTATTTTTTTTTATTTGAGTTATGGCTAGGAAAGAATTCAGGGCCAAGAATTAAACTATAAGAGAGTTTATTTAAAAAGACACAGAGGTAAAATAAGTGAGAAGAAATGGGCTCAGGAACCAAGTTACAGAGGCAAAAGGAGGGTCCTTGGAGTTTAGGAGAGAGGAAGGTGAAGGTAACATGCTGGGGGAAGAAGATGGGGAGGGAGAAGGCACAGGCATGCTCCCGAGAGGGAGAAGACCTGAACTACTTTTAAATAACAAATTATACTTACAAGAAACTATTTAGCCCTAGCCAGTTTGACTCGGTGGCTAGACCGTCGGCCTGCAGACTGAAAGGTCCCAGGTTTGATTCCAGTTAAGGGCACATGCCCGGGTTGAGGGCTTGATCTCCAGTAGGGGTCGTGCAGGAGACAGCCGATCAATGATTCTCTCTCATCATTGATGTTTCTATCTCTCTCTCTCCCTCTTCCTTTCTCACTGATCAATAAAAATATATTATATATAAAAAAAGAAACCATCAATTTTGAAATACTACTTTTTTCTCCTGAGTATTACAGTGGCAATATATAGTATTTTTTCCTATTGTTTTTCTTAGATATTATAACTGTGAAATATACTTTTTTTATTTTTTCTTCTTATTTATTTATTTTTATTTTTTAAGATATATTTTTATTGATTTCAGGGAGGAGAGGGAGAGAGAAATAGAAACATCAATGAGAGAGAATCATTGATTGGCTGCCTCCTAAATGCCCCTCACCAGGGATCTAGCTGCAACCCAGCCATGTGCCCTTGACCAGAATCAAACCTGGGACCCTTCAGTTCAAAAGGCCCATGCTCTATCCACTGAGCCAAACCAGCTAGGGCCTTCTTATTTTTTTTTTCTTTGTTGCTCACAAGGGGAATGACCCATTTTGGAAATATTGTATTTACTAGAAATTTTTCATTTTTGGTGCAGTTGAAAATTACACCCATCTGTTGCTACTTGATTTCTAAAATTAGTTTACATGAAAATGGCAACTAAAAGTAACATGATTGAATGAGACTTAATGTAATGTAGATTTCTTTGGCTCTTATTTCTATGCCAAACTAAATGTCATTATTTGAGAACTGTGGTGATGAAGAGCTTCCATTTTTATCAGAAACTTCCCTAAGTAGAACAATGTTTTAAAATAAAAGCTAACAATTCTGTGACAATTTGACTTTTGCTTTTATAAATTCTCTTGTTTACATACACATCTTTGCAAGTTTGTGGCCATTTAACGTTACATTTATTTTTACTAAGGGAAGAATACAAAGTATATTTTCCTTTAGCCTGTTTTGAAATGTTTCCTTAAATTGCATCTTAATTTTTACACTTGACTAAATTCAGCTTTAGGATATTCATTTACATTTTTGAGCTATGTGCTCTATTTTGCCCACTCCTAGTTCTTTCCATTTTAAAAAATTAAGAATTGGGTTTTCATTTAGGCAGTGGCTTAGAGGAAGTTAGAGTTCTGATTTCAGTTAAGTCTGTGTTGTGTTGTATACAACTTTATACAGTCACTTAAATCTTTGTTGCTCAAAGTTCACCTGATCATAGGCATTAATAGAACCCACAATGAAATTTACAGTAAACATAATTGACTAGAATAGTATATTTGAGACATGTGTGCTGTATGGAATTTTAGTAGAAGAATTAAAATATAGAAAGAGTAATATATAAGGACTAATTATAAAAATATGTATATTTTCCTTCTTTATTTTTCTAGTCGAACTTCGCCATGGGCCGCTTTCCTAGTACATGTAGGAAGTGTTACATGCTCGATTTTGGCTTGGCTCGACAATTTACTAATTCCTGTGGTGACGTCAGACCAGTAAGATTTTTCATGTTATTGAATATTTGAGACTTAAACTATTATTTATTATATCACTCTATTTAAAGAAATGCTGATTATGTATCAGAATGGATGTGATTCAAGAAGTAGCATACATATTTATAATTAAATCATAAAATGAGTTAATTATTCCACTATTGAAAGTTGTAGACTTAAAAAAAATACATTAGACACAGATTTAGAGTTGTCTTGTACTAAGAACACAAATTAGCCCTTTAGGATCAGTGATCTTTTTTGCAGTCCAAAGCTCTTTCTACATATTATGGTTTTTCTGTTTCAGTTATTGTACTTTTCATATCCATTTGGTTCTTTTTAAAAATTTCTCTTTATGGATATTCTCTATTTGATACGATGTTGTCATACTTTCCTTACTTCTGTTATCAAGCATTCCTTTAGTTTTGTGAAGATATTTATAATGGCTAGTTTGAAATCTTTTATTGTTAAATCCAACATCTAGTCACTCTCACAGACAATTTCTGTTGCCTGCTTTTTTTTTTTAATGTATGAGAGATAATTCCTTGTTTCTTTGCATACCTTATAATTTATTTTTATTGGAAACTGGACATTTTAGATAATATGTTGTAGCAATTCTGGGTACTGGTCCCCCTTCCAGGGCTTGTTATTATGTGCTTGTTTATTTGTTTAGTGAATGTATTATTTTAGTGAAGTCTGTTTTTTTTCCCCACCCTCAAAATACAGTGTTAATCTCCACTAATTGATTGCTCTATTGTTTACAACAGTGCCGTAGGGCACAAATTCCTTGACAAAGTAATCAAAGTGTGCCTCCTAAAATGGAATAATCCCCCCCGCCCTTTTTTTAAAGGAATTTATTGAAGTGACATTGATTAATAAAATTATACAGGTTTCAGATGTACAATTCTATAATACATCATCTGTATATTTATTGTGTGGTCACCACTGCAAATCAAGTCTCCTTCCACCACCATTTATTTCCCCTTTACTCTCTTCTTCCTCTCCCCAGCCCCCTTTCCCTTTGGCCATCACCACACTGTTGTCTGTAGCTATGGGTTATGCATATATGTTCTTTGACTAATCCCTTCACCTACTTTCATCCAGCCCCCCAGCCCACTCCCCTCTGACAGCTGTCAGTCTGTTCCATGTATTCATGCCTCTTTCTATTTTATTAGTTGATTTTGTACATTAGATTCCATATATAAGTGAAACCATATGGTACTTGTCTTTCTCTGACTGGCTTATTTCACTTAGCATAATACTCTCCAGGTCCATCCATGCTGTCACAAAAGGTAAGATTTTCTTCTATTTTAAGGTCTAGTAGTATTCCAGACTGCGGAACTTCAGAGGGAAGGTGGGGGAGGGTAGGAAGAGATCAAAGAATTTGTATGCATATATGCATAACCCATGGACACAGACAATAGGTTGGTGAAGGCTGGGGTCAGGTGGTGAGGGCAGGCTAAAAGGGGTCGATGGTGGGGGAAAGGGGACATGTGTAATATTTTCAGCAATAAATATTTAATTTTAAGAAATGATGAGAGAGAATCATTGATTGGCTGCCTTCTGCACACCCCCCACTGAGGATTGAGCCCGAAACCCTGGCATGTGCCCCTGACCAGAATCGAACCTGGGACCCTTCAGTCCGAAGGCCGACGCTCTATCCACTGAGCCAAACCATCCAGGGCTTTAGTTGTTTTTTTAAAATAATTTTCACCAGTTTTACTGGGGAGTGGAGCTCCTCGTGTTGTCATACTGGCATTTGTTCTCCCACTATCGCTCTTATACTTGTGTCTTACTTTTACCTTTAGTTTTGTTTTAACTTGCTACTGATTGTGACTCTCATTCCTAGCAAATTGGTTGCACAGAAATTAAAACACTGGTTTTGAATGAACTAACTATATAGTAATAGTTGTATACAGAAATGTAAATTATATTTAAAATAAGGGCACATGAGAATTTAAGTGCCTAGAAATTATGAGAGAATTTTTTTTATTCTGGTGAAGGTCTTGCATGTTAATAGGAAACGTGGGGTGCAGGGAGCGGATCTCCCCCTTGCAGGTTCTTGCCTCAGGAAGTTTGAAGAATAAAATTTACGGGCTAAAAGGACTTGTTAGTAAAAGGGTGGAAATTTATTGGAAGCAAATACAGACTCCCACGTAGGGAGGGGCTCCCAAGGGGGTAAACCACTAAGCTCCTTTTTTCTAAGGTTTTTAAATGCTGTGGTTCTTTGTCTCTTCATGCTCCCTTCTAATTGGACCCCTTCCCCATTTTATGACCCTGTGCTTTTCTAATTGGTCACTCTTTTGCAGAATATCAGCTTCGAAGTTTAAAACCCACTTGGTGCCCCTCCTTTTTCTCTCCCCCTTATCTTGCAACATTCCTCTATCTCCTGTGAACATGTTTCCCTCTTTCCAGCATCTGTGGACATTTCTCTATCCTCTGTGAAAGTATGTTTCCTTTTTCCCCATAACAGTTTTTCAATTTTTAGAACATGTTTTTTAAAAAGTCACTCTGGCTGTAAAGAGACTATTGAGAGCAAGAGTAGAATCAGAAAGACAAGTTAGAAGACTAACATGAAGGTCCAGTGATCAATGATGGTGGCTGGGACCTAGGACATTAGGGTGGTACAATAAGGTAGTGAGAAATGATTGTATTTTGCACATATTTTAAAGATAGATTTAATAAGACTTCCTTCTGGATTTGATATTGGGATGTGAAGGAAAAAGAAGAGTCAAGAATGATTACTAGATTTTTGTCCTGAATGAATGGTCATGCTATTAACCATGATGGGGAAGGATGAAGAAGATTCGATAAGGGGGGGAAACACAAGTTCTATTTTCTAGAAGTAAGTTTGAGATGCCTCTTAGATTCAAGATGGAAATAACAAGAAGCTGATAATGATATATTAATTTGTAGCTCAAAGGAGAAATCAGGGCTGGGGATAATATAAATTTAAGAATCACTTGCTCCCAATGTTTAAAACTAAATGGTAATTTTAAAAAATGAAACTAGATTAGATCAGCTAAGGAGACGATATTGCTAGGTAAGAAAAGAGGTTCTGAGTTTGAGCCATTGGGGCACTTAGCAACTTGATGATGGAAAAAGAAGAACTGTGAGCCAGCCAAGAAGAGTGAGAGGAGGATCAGCCAGTGAGGTAGGAAAAAAATCAGGAGAGTGTGATATCTTGGGAGCCGAGTGAAGAAAGTGCTTCAAGTATGTAGGGGTGGTTATCACCGGCACCAGATGCTGCTGATAGGTCAAGTAAGGTGGGAAATGAGAACTGACCATCTGGATTACTCAATTGGAATAAGTTAAAGAGAGTTGGAGAGACAAAGTGAAGAAAGAGAGTATAGGCAACTCTCTGGTGGAGTTTCTGTGCTCTAATCTTCACCAGAGGATATGTTTTTTATTTTATTTTATTGATTTGAGGAAGGGAGGGAAAGTGGGAGGCAGAGAGAGAAGAGAGAGAAAGAGAGAAACATTGATGGGTTGCCTCCTGTATGCACCCCACCACCTGGGTATGTGACCTGACCAGGAATCGAACCCGCCACCTTTTGGTGTACAGGACAGTGCTTTAACCAACTGAGCCACACAGGCCAGGGCCAGAGTTTCTTTGTTCTAAAGAGGAGTGGTAAAACAAAGAAGTAGTTGAAAGGGCAGTGAAAGCCATCCTTCCTTCCTTCCCTAATTTTTAAAAAATGGTAGTTATTGAAGCATACTTGTGAACTGATGGTAATACTCCAGGACATGTGAAAAAATAAAAACTGATGTAGGACAGAGCAGGAACAATTATAAGAGCCAAGTTCTTGCATAGCTGGCAGGGGAAGAAATCCTGGCACAAATGGTGAGGTTAGCCTATTATGTAAGAGCAAGAACACTTTTCCATGTAACTGGGAAAAGGCAGAATAAGTGGGTACAGATTTAGGTAACTAATATTTTTTTAAAATATATTTTTATTGATATCAGAGAGGAAGGAAGAGGGAGAGAGAGACAGAAACATCCATGATGAGAGAGAATCATGGATTGGCTGCCTCCTGCAAGTCCTCCAATGGGGATTGAGCCCACAACCTGGGCATGTGCCCTTGACCGGCATTAACCTGGGACCTTTCAGTTCACAGGCCGACGTTCTATCCACTGAGCCAAACCGGCTAGGGCAGTAACTAATATTTGATTTTTTTTGTCTTTCCATATATGTTCCAAAAGAGTGTAAAAAACACATATGTAAATTTTAAATAAGAATATTAAGACATTCATGGCCTCCATTTAGGTTAAGAAATAGCTCATTTCCACCTTAGAAGCATGCTATGGTCCTTTCCTGATGGCATACCTTTTCCTCCCTCAAGCAGCATGTGCAATAGAACTTACTATGAAGTTGGAAATGTTCTGTATCTGTACTGTCCGATATGGTAGCCACTAGCCACATGTGCCTAGTGAGCACTTGAATTTTGACCAGAGAAAACAAGGAACTCAGTTTCAAAACTAATTTAATTTGAAGTTGCTATTATATTGGGCATTGTAGCCCTAGACAAATTCCATTCTTAATTTTGCATTAACCAGTCCCTTGCTTTGCTTTCTTCTCTCTTCTGTAGACCCAAGGGTAGTTATTTGGAGTATGGAACAGATTCAAGGAGCTTTGTAAAATACTATAGTTACCATATGCCCTTCACCTAGCTTCCCCCAATGATATCTTAGATAGCCATAGCAGTACATTGTCAAAACTAGGAAATTTGATATGGGTATACTATTATTGACTCAAGCACAGCCTGAGTCAGATTTCACTATATTTTTAAAAACATTTTTTTAGGAGTGGGGAAATGGTATATGAAATGTTATCACATGTATAGATTCATTATAGCCAACACCACAATCAGGATACAAAACTCCTTCAAAACGTAATGTCTGTTTATCTACCAAAGTTATGGTACAGGATCATCAGTCAGCTTGCATTACAAACAGAATGATGGGTAGTATCTGTGACACTAGTGAGTTGTTTATGTGGTTGGTTT